AACCCAGAGTGACCCCAGAGGTGGAGGTCAGTGACCTACTGCAGGAGGTTTACGTCTCTAAATGTTAAACTCCATGTTTCTACGTCTGTTGTTCTGTTTTATGACAACTTTAGCCTGTTGATGGTTTTGTGTGTGAACCTTGTGTTTGGTTTAAACGGAGCAAAGAGCCGTGAACAGTGAAGTCCAGAGTTCTGACGGGCTGAAGGCGGACCAGCTGCTCGGGAACGTCACCACTCCACCACCTTTATCTTCTTCTTTCCTGAGCTCAGAGAAGCTACCAGACGTCTCTCACGTCGCTGAGCGGATTATTTCAGACTTCTGGACGTGTTCCTGCCTCACAGCGGTGAGCGAGCCCGGGTCTGGTTCTGCAGAACAAAGCGGCGCCGCTCCCTTCTTGTGGCGTCGTGTTAAATTGGAGCAGCAGCTCTGAGGAAGCTCGGCCGCTCGCTTCGTTACTGAGGCAACATTTTCCGTGTGATTACGAGCTGAAGCTAATTCTGAGTGCAGCCGAGGAGAAAGAGCAGCGTTTCCTGCTCTGAGTGGAAGTCAGAGAGCAGCAGAACCGCCGGGTTCTGACGCTGACACATTCTATAAGTCGGTTACAGTCGGTGCTGATCTCTGATCCGGTTCAGTTGGAGTTTCAGGAGGATTTCAGGTAAACTCTGAAAGCTGCAGCTCCTGATCTTCATCAGATCCAGAACCTGAAGCCGATCCGCTCATGTGGGTCATCGTGTTGAGGTCAGTACCGGTTGTGTTTAAGGATTTATTGATCTGAGAGCAACATGAATGACACTTTGACATGAGTTAAGGTTCTGCTCTGACATGGTTCCTCCCTGAGCTGATGCTGCAGGTCCACCACCTTCTCCAGCTGTGGAGCACCAACCTGCTTTCTGGAGGTTCTGCTCCAAACAGCAGGTCTGATCTGATGTTCACTTGCTCGTCCTCTGGTTCACTCGTTCATTCCTCTGTGACTGAGTGAAGTCAGACTTCACCAGTTCGTTCTGGCAGCAGGACTTACTAACGCTGATACGACCCAGTAAGAGCTGCCTGGTGCTGTTTACCTGGATCAGAACCTCTCTGTTAGTCTGTAACCTGCAGGTGTCCTCTGACAGGTGTGTTCTGTGTTTTGTTGCAGTTGGAGCTGCAGGTGGACCAGGAGGTGGTCGTCTACGATCAGAACTCTTCGGATCCGTCTGCTCTGAGCTCTGAGTCCTTCCTGAGCGTCCTGCTGGTCAAACTGGAGAGAAGCTTCCCCTCCGTTCACCTGCTCTCAGGTGAGTCCTCCAAACATTCCTCCATACAAACTGCTGCTTCTGATGAACAAGCACGAGACCAGAACATGTTCTGTTGTTTACTGTAACGTAGCGCCGTGTTGTGCGTCCTGTTGGTTGTGTGGACGTGAGAGGTGAGCTGCTCAGAGCAGACCGTCCACGTTCACGTCTTGATGTCTGTCCGGTTAGTCTGGTTCTGTGCTCTCTCACACTTGTTTTAGTCTTTGGAAGCTGTTGCACTGATTCACATGATGCTCGTGACGAGTCGTCGCTCAGCGCTGACTTTATGGCTCATAAAGCTTCAGAGTTTGTGTGAAAACCAAAAGTCCTCAGACAGTAAATGTTCCAACACGCTGCTGCACCTGAGACAAGACGTGACTCTTGTGTTAGCTCAGATCCACAGAAGCTACAGAAAGTCAGAGTGCTTGAGGTTTTTGTTCCTCACCGTGGCCCTGGTTATTGATCACTGACCGGCCAGTCAGACTTGTAGCTGCTGCTCGTCGTCCTTCTTTCCACCGAGGGTTCGTTATGTAACCATGATGTCATCCTCCAGCCGGCTCCACCCTCACGTTAAACTCTGTGGTTTCCCAAAGCGCTGCTCACGGCTCCGCTTACACAACAGCCGGCTGATAAAACGGCTTTAAAGGGAAGTTCGCTCAAAAACAGGATCATCAGCGCTTCTCTCTTTAAAATGTCAAACGTTAGAATACAGAAAGATCCACGAGTCACCGCTGGCTGAGCAGACCTCAGATCAGCTCAACAGGAAACACTTTACCTTCTTCCTCCCAGTTCTGACCCAGTAGAACCAGAACCTTCCTCCTCCTAGTGTTCCAGTGCTTCCTCAGAGCCCAAAGTCCAACACCCCGACCCGTGGAGGGTGTTGATAGAATCTGAGCTAGCATCAGGGGCTCATGTAGAATAAATCTGAACACAGTTTGTTGAGGAGCTTCATCGGACCTGAAGGGAGAACCGGTCCAGAGTTGGATTCACTGACTGTCGGTTCTGATCTGATCCGATTAAAAGACACAAACAGAGTCTGGAGGCTTTAAAGAGAAAAACCTGATATTTTATAAGACGTTGAGTCTCATTAAACCCGTTAGCCAGACGCCCGTTAGCCGCACGCCCGTTAGCCAGACGCCCGTTAGCCGAACACACGCCCGTTAGCCGCACGCCCGTTAGCCGGACGCACACCTGTGAGGTGTGTGCAGGTGCAGGAGGCGTTTTATTGGTTGGCGATGTTGAAGATCCTCAGTGGACGGTAACGATCCAGTAACTTGACAGAACCCGACTGCTGTTGGTTTTCAGGTGGGTTCTCCGAGTTCTGCCACCTGTTCCCGGGTCTCTGTGAGGGAAAGTCCACTCTGGTTCCCTCCTGCATCTCTCAGCCCTGCCTGCCCGTCTCCAGCACCGGACCGACCCGCATCCTGCCGCACCTGTACCTGGGCTGCCAGAGGGACGTCCTCAACAGGGTACCAGCAGCACACACCTCAACAGAACCAGAACAGAACCAGAACAGAACTATACACACCTAAACAGAAGCAAAACAGAACCAGAACACAACAACATACACCTAAACAGAACCAGAACACAACTATATACATCTAAACACAACTATACAGAACCAGAACACATTCCGACCCACAAGGCCTGGTTCTTTTCTCACAGAACCAGTCCTGAGACGTCACCAGAGCTGGAAGCAGAGAAACGACTGATGATTAATGTGACCAGAACCAGCGTGTCCACATTCTACACGCTGGTTCTGGTCTCTGTCCCTCTCAGAGCTGCTGCTGGTGTTCTGATGGTTAAATCTCAGAACCACATTAACCTGAGCAGCTGCTGAGCTGAGTTCTGACAGAACCTTAGACCAGACGGGTGTTTGCTTCAGGCGGTTCTCTGGTCCAATGTTTCTGGGTCTGTCTGTGGCGGCGCTGATTCTGTCTGTCCTTCGCTGTTTGCAGGATCTGATGCAGCAGAACGACATCGCCTACGTCCTGAACGCCAGCAACACCTGCCCCAAACCGGACTTCATCCCCGAGTCGCACTTCCTCCGAGTCCCCGTCAACGACTCGTTCTGTGAGAAGATCCTGCCCTGGCTGGACCGATCCGTGGAGTTCATAGGTCAGCAGCTGCTTCTGAGTTCTGCTCCCAGCCCGCTGCCCGCTGCTCAGTCTGAACCTGTCGCTGTGTTTCAGAAAAGGCCAAAGCGTCCAACGCCCGGGTTCTGGTCCACTGTCTGGCTGGGATCTCCCGCTCAGCCACCATCGCCATCGCCTACATCATGAAGAGGATGGACATGTCTCTGGACGAGGCCTACAGGTACCGACCCGCTCGCTCTTTACTGGGTCACATCAGAACCTGTGATAATCGGCTAGAACCCAAACACACCAGAACTTTCTGCTGAACTGACTTTGGTTTATAGTTGAGTTTCTGATTCACCGAGGACCTGGTCCAGATGTTTGGAACCAGCACTAGGGCTGTATTTGTTGTCCTGTTGTTGGGCTGGATGTTCAGGTGAGGTCCAGACTTTATGGACACGAGACTTCACACAAGTCTTCAGGACTTCTGGACAAACGTAGAGTCCTCTGGTGCCGGTTCTGAGATGTTTAGTCGAGTTGTAATCATTGTGGACAATGTTTGAGTTATTCTGGAAAAGTTTAGAGTTGTTCAGTTTTGACGTCATTTGGATCTGATTCTGGCTCATGTCAGGCGCTGAGTCGTGTGCTGCCGAGCTTTGGACCTAATCTGTCTGACATCATGTCGGTGCTGAACCCAGGTCTGACCCGGCTCTGGTTTGATGCTGGCTGCTGTTCCTCTGAAGCTCCTGTTTGTGTCTCTGCAGGTTCGTGAAGGAGAAGAGGCCCACCATCTCCCCCAACTTCAACTTTCTGGGTCAGCTGCTGGACTTTGAGAAGAAGATCAAGAGTCCCGTCGGTACTGAGACCAAGCTGAGGTGTGAGGCTGCGGTCCAGCCGGAGGAGGCTGCCGGCGGCCCAGAGGCCCCTGGCGGCCCCGGGGGCCCCGGCCTGGCCCTGCTGGAGCCCCTCACGCTGCCCTGCGTCCTGGCCGACGCCCCGGAGGAGCGTCTGCTGGCCCAGGCCCTGAGCGGCCTGCAGCTGGACGAGGACAGCGCCCGGCTCAAGCGCTCCTTCTCTCTGGACATCAAGTCGTACGGCGAGCCGGGCGGAAGCTCCGCCCACCGGGTGTTCGCGCCCCACGGCGGCTCCACGGACGACTTCTACAAAGCGTCGGCCTTCAAGGAGCCGGGCAGTAAGCCGTGCCAGTTCTCTCCGGTGGAGGAGGTGTCGGAGCAGTCGACGCCGGAGCAGAGTCCGGATAAGGAGGAGGCCGACGGGCCGCAGCGAGCGGCGCCGCCCGGCTTCGCCAAGCCTCTGCCCGCCGCCCCGAACTGTTCGCAGCTGCACCGCAGCGGCAGCGTGGAGGAGAGCGCCGCCAGCTTCCTGTTCGGTCTGTCCCGCAGCCAGCAGCACCTGGCCAAGGCCGGGTCGGGCGGCGCCCTGAAGGGCTGGCACTCCGACATCCTGCTGGGCCCGGTCACCGTGTCCACCTCCTCTCTGGCCGGCGGCTGGTACCTCTCCTCCGAGTCCACGCGCTTCTACTCCACCTCCGCCATCCTGAGCGGCGGCGGCTTCGCGGCCTACGGCTGCAGCCACGGCCTGGAGGCGGTCCGGCGCCGCAGCCGGCAGCGGACTGGCGACCGCGGAGACTCGAGGAGGAGCTGGCACGAAGAGAGCAGCTTCGAGAAGCAGCTGAAGAGGCGCAGCTGCCAGATGGAGTTCGGAGACGGACGCACGGACAGCCGGTCCCGGGAGGACATGGGGAAGGTGGGCAGCCAGTCCAGCTTCTCCGGCAGCATGGAGGTCATCGAGGTGTCCTGAGAGCCGCCAGCATCCGGAGGACGAGTCGCCGAGTCGCTTCGACGCGGAACAGAAACACTTGGGTTCCTGATGCCTTAAAGCTCGTCGAGGAGAATCTGCAGCACATCGACGGACTGAATCACGTTTAGGTTCTGCAGCTCAGAGTTCTGATCCGAGAGCAGGAAATCAGATAAATCATTAAATCAATGAGATCATGTGACTAGAAGCACAGAGAGAAAATCAAAGCCAATAATCATCATTATCACACCGTTAGCTAACGCTGCTAGCATGCTACAGCCGTGTTCTGGTGGACCCGGAGCTCCACAGGTTCTGTTCAGGAGCTGAGTTTGTCTGTAGTTTATCTGTAGAGGGAGAAGTTAGACTGTGTGACTGACGACAGAACCGAACCGATGAATGTTCTGTTGTTTCTGTGATTCACTGCAGCAGTTACCGATCCGACCACCAGGAGGTTCTGTTGGACATCTGGTGGCTCGGGGTGGTTCTGTTGGACAGAATGAGACGCTGTTCACTGTTTTCTGACATGTGTGGATGAATGATTGATGATGCTGATCAGGACGGGACCGGGAGTCGTGTGTTTGTGAATGGACCTTTAATCTCTGACGGACTCTGAGCCTGTGAATGTTTGGACCTTCTGATCCATCAGGTTCTCCTGGTCCTCCTCTGGCAGGTGACTCACCTGTGGAGGCTCAGACCCTGTTCACAGGTAACGTTGCACTACTGTGGTGGAGGAAGGTTCTGATTCAACGTGTGTAAAATAAAGCCAACGTGTTGGACTGGTTCTGCTGCGTCTGCTTCATGTCTGCAGCGACTCGGGTCCACTCAGTGCAGAGTTCTGCCTTCAGACTGTGAATATTTCATTTAGAGATTCGGTCCGATCACCACTAACCCACAGAACCAGAACTGAACACTGCCAACTGGTTTATAGCTGACTTTAAACCGGTCCAGAGAATAAACCAGAAACCAGGTCCAGTGTTCAGACTGAGACACCTGGATGGATGTAGAACTGATCTGGTGTCAGGTTCTACCAGAACCCAGGTGTGTTCTTCCTCCTAAATGTCATGTGTCTATCTGCTGTTCTGATGAGGTTCTGGGGCTCAGGGTTCGGGTTGGTGATCCGTCTGGACCCTCCTCTGTGGACTCGTTCACAGGCTGAAGGTGACTCTAAGGAGGGGCTCAGGTGTTTGTTCACCTGTTCATCACGAACACAGAATCCTTCACTGTTCTTCTGTCGCTGAGTCCAAAGAGCAACGAGCTGCACAACTGACGGTTCTGAGTCCAACAGGTGAGCGGTCCACAGCGCCCTCTGCTGGAGGAACCAGGTAACTACAGCTGCTTAATGACTGCATCACCTCTGAGCTCTGAGCTGCTTCTGTCTCATTTATCTTCACTGAGGTTCACGTTAAAGTCCTGCAGCTCTGAGGAACCAGAACATGAAGGAGGAGAGAGAGAGAACTCAGAGACGTCTGCTGTCAGCAGGACTCGGAACCATGAAGACCAGAGACTAACTAAAGCTGAATTTATGGGAAAATGCTGGTCTCCTGTAAATTCAACTTTCACTATCCACAATTTATCTGACAGTGTTCCTCCATCATCATGTAGAAAGATGTTCCTCCATCAGATGTAGAAAGATGTTCCTCCATCAGCTGAATGTATCTCCACCAACTATCTCCTCTGTCCTCTGGTTCTGATCCGTGCTGCATCTATTCATTGATCCAGTAGGATGGATTCTCCTTCAGTCTCTCTGAGGAAACTC